TAAGCCAACATTTCCCTCTATGTTTTCTCTCCATGCCCACGACTTTTGTTTTTCTCCCGGACCCGTGGGCCCCCTTTGCGTGTATTCCCTCCGCCCCTGTTCTTTTTGTACAGTATTGATTGTCTTGGAAATTAGTTATTATTGGGCAACAGATATCACGCCCTCTCCTCTCCCCTTTTTCACATGCGAGCTGCAATTTTCTCTCTCCCCTTTTGCCCCCCCCCCCCCATCCTTCCGTTCCCCTGGGAGTTACGGATTCTGGGGTGGAGATGGGCTTCTGCACTTGCCTCTCGGTGTTACAATTGTTTGGAAGTGTGAATGAGTCCAAAGGTGGATCCCAAGGCTCATGTCAAGGCCAGCAGGGCCTGTTCCTGGCTCTGAGCCTCCCTGTGCTGTGTGTGTGTGTGTGTGTGTGTGTGTGTGTGTGTGTACAGGTGTGGGGGGTCAGATAAGCTGGGAGGAATTTGAAAATAACAAGCCTTGTTTTTTGAGACCATTGGTTCTTTTTGTTTGTAGAACTTATACACAACACAAGGTTTCTTCTTTGAATGCAGGTGACTCCCTGAACGTCCAGCACGAGCCGGAGGAGACGATGAGGAAGGAGAAGAAGTCGGAAGCCCTGAATATCAGAGGTGGGGTGGCCCTTGAGCCGACTGGAAAGCCTTTCAGGGCTACACCTGGTCTGCGCTGGTCCCTTCCCTTTCTGTTCGCCTCTGAGCCGGTTAGAAAGTGGGCAGGCTGCGACCTGTAGACTCTGACCCGGCTCTTGCCTCATCCCCGCATCGATTGGGAGGGAGACACTCATTGCTCGCCATTGACCCTTGCTCACTGAGACGCCCCAGCGCTGCCTGCTCAAGAGCTTCACAGATCGGTGACACCCTCCCATTTCTCTTGGTGTTGCCCACCCGTGGGTGTTGCTAACCTACAATGCAGCCCATTTTCACTGAATGGCATTTTGATAAGGTGGGAAGTGAGTAGGCGGGCAGCTATCCCAGGGGGACCCTCATGGCCATTCTGTGATCGGTCTTGTTGACTCACTTGAATCGCCACCTTCAGGTCCAAAGGGGGGGGTTCTGGGGAGACACGTGGAAGGCACATCCCTAGCATTCCTCCTACCAAGAGCTCAAGGTCACAGCGCTGGGCCAAGGTCAGTCCTGGGGGTTCAGAGGTGCCTTTCTCACCGGGCACCAACATCTCTCCTTTCCAACTTTTCAGACAATGACTTTGCTTTGGGTCAATGCCCAACCTTGATTTTGAGAATTTCAACAAAGACCATGCTACTACCTTTTACTTTCAGGTGGTTTGGGGAAGCCTAGGACTTAGATGGAAATAATATGAAGAAAAATTAATAATCCAGGAAGCGTCTTTATTTTTGAGAGTCTCACATCTGTTTTACAAAGTGATACCCGGGATGGATCTATAGGGAGGATCAGAAAATAACAACAACATGTGAGCTCCTAAAAACTCAATGAATTAATTTCAGAGGGATTTTTTTATTTTTAATTATTTAATTTTTATTTTGTCATGAAATTAACTAAGGGGAAGTTCTTAGAGTAGAACAGGATATGTAGACATTTCTAAATAATGAATTAACATTTTTAAGCTCTGTAGTCTTACACCCATAGAGTCAACCAATGATGATGAAGGCTTTAAGCTTATTCAATAGTTTTGGGGTTTGAAATGAGCTATGACTTAGTGACATGATTTTTGTTCTGTACAGTAGATAATCTGCTCTTCTCAGGAGTTGGGAAAGTTTCTTTTATGAGCTTTAGTCCCTCACCCGCTATTTTTATTATTTTTTAATTTTTAAAAATGTTATTTTTAAACTACAGTTTACATTCAATATTATTTCGTATTAGTTTCAGGTGGACAGCAGTGTGGTTAGGCACTCGTATACTTTACAACAACAGGAGACTTTCTAAAGAGCTTGGTGATGAGTCTTTTTGGAAAGAGAATCTGTAATAAAAAAAAATCACTATCCTTTTAGGTTCAGTTTGAAAAACAGATATGGTAGGTTTTTAAGATCGAGTTCGCCATCACATCGCTTTAACTCTCTGAAATCAATAAAAATCTATTAAAAAAAATTGAATCCATCCTGCCGTTCCTACCCTAAAGAAAACAAATAGCCACGGATCTTCACCGACGTGGGACCCCGAGCCCGGAGCGTGACGTGGCCCTGAACTTGGACGTGTGCCTTAGGGATCTTGCTTTCTTCCGGCAGGTGTGCTTTTGCACGTGATGGGCGACGCCCTGGGCTCGGTGGTGGTGGTGATCACGGCCACCATCTTCTATGTGCTGCCCCTGGACCAGGACCACCCCTGCAACTGGCAATGCTACATTGACCCCAGCCTGACCGTCGTCATGGTGATCATCATTTTGTCGTCTGCCTTCCCGCTCATCAAGGAGACCGCCATCATTCTGTTGCAGATGGTCCCCAAAGGGGTCAACGTGGAGGAGCTGAGTAAGTCAGGCGGGTCTGATCTAGAACCACTGTCCACTTCCTGTCCTCCAGGCCAAAGGGCCCGTGTTACTTCAGAGCCTCAATTATCCCTATCAGCGGTAGAGACATGCTTCATCCCTTGGAGCTTCGAGAAATGAGTCACGGCTCCAAGAACCAAAGGTCCTTTGCAGCCTATGATTCTGTGACTCACCTGCACATTTTTTTTAAATATATATTTTTTATTGATTTTAGAGAGAAAGGGAGAGGGAGAGGGAGTTAAAACATCAATGATGAGAAAGAATCATTGATCTGCTGCCTCCTGCAGGATCGGGGATCGAGCCCACACCCCGGGCATGTGCCCTGACCAGGGAATCGAACCGTGACCTCCTGGTTCATAGGTCAACGCTCAACCACTGAGCCACACCAGCTGGGCTGACCTGCACATTTTTTTGAGAATGTAGTGCTCAGGCAATTCCTGTTCTTGGACTACTTACCTGGGCTACTTACCTACATGTCAAGGATTTATTTTCATCCAAATAAGGTGAACTCCATTTTTATTCTTCCCATTCTGAAACCATGAATCTCTTGTGTTCTATCTAGATCCTGCTTTCAGCTTAATTGATTTAAAAAAAAATTTTTTTAAATTGACTTTTAGAGAAAGAGGAGGGGTGAAGGAGAGAGAGAGAAACATTGATGTGAAAGAGAATCATCGCTCAGCTGCCTCCTGCACGCCCCCTACTGGGGATCGATGCCTGCAAACGAGGCACGTGCCCTGACCTGGAATCAAACTGGCAACCTTTCGGTACATGAGACAACACCATCACCTGAGCCACACCGGGCATTTTTTCTTGTTCTTAAACTTATTTTCTTGAATCACCTTTTATGGCCTAAAAATATTTGGTAGAGGAATTCCAAGAGGAGAAAGATGATGGGGCCATGTCCTTGTATAGCTGAGGTGAGGCTATTTTTCTTCCTGTTATTCTTAGTAAATACATCATTTTGATGAGAATGCTTCAAGGGACCACACCCCCCCGCCCCTGAAGTAGTTCCATGTTTCCGTTCTAGCTCTCACCTGGGCTGTCACTTGCTCTTCCCTGTCCTAGTGAGTAAGCTCGCGGCCGTGCCGGACATCAGCAGCGTTCATGAACTGCATATCTGGGAACTTATAAGTGGGAAGATCATTGCCACCCTGCACATCAAGTACCAGAAGGACAGGGGGTATCAGGACGCCAGTCTGAAAATTCGAGAAATCTTCCACAGGGCGGGAATCCACAACGTGACCATCCAGTTTGAGGCCGTGGACTCGCCGGAGTCTCTGGAGCAGAAGGACACGCTGTCGCTGTGCAGCTCCCCCTGCATCTCCAAGAGCTGTGCCAAGCACCTGTGCTGTCCCCCCCGGGCACTGCCCCTGGCCCACGTCAATGGCTGCGCTGAGCACAACGGCTCTCCCCGTCTAGACATGTACCAAAGCCAAGGCCTCGGTCGACCAGAACTCTCGGAAGTGGCGATTGAAGTATCTCGGGATGGCCGTGTGAGTGACCATGGACAAGCTTTCACCAAAACTCAGGAGGACCGATGTTATACCAACAGCACACATTTTTAATCCGGTCCCCGCATGAGCAGACTATATAGGCGAGGCACTTTGGACCTGCAGCTTGGCCTGTGGGAGCAGCTCTGTGGGTTGTAGGCACTGACCAAACCCACGGGGTGCACTCTGTGGTCAGTGAGGGGTTGGCTGTGTGGGGTGTTCATTGACCGTGTCTGCGAATTTTTACGGGACTGACAAGGTATCCCATTGCGTGGTCCTGGAGGTCTCATGCTGCTCTTCAAGGGTTTTCGTTTGCTCATTGATTTTTCTGAAGCAAACTGCACTGGTGTGTGTATGTCAGGGGCACTGAAGGCGGGGACTCAGTGACTGTGGACACGGGACTCAAAGTAGTTTTTGTTTGACACCGATTAGAGCCTCCAGCTGACTCTCAGGTGAGCTCATTGCTGAGTATATCGCACAAACTTAGGAGCCATAATGGCTGTTTTTTTTTTGTTTTGTTTTGTTTTTTTTCCATTCCACCAGAAGATTATAAAAGAGGAAGAATAGTCTTGTCACTGCAGCATTTTTTTTCTTTGGCTTATTTTTGAATGAATGTAAATGGAGACCTATTAAGGAAGAAGAGCACTTTCAGACAGAAGAAAGGTGAGCTTATGGGGGGGGGGGGGGAGGCAGAGTGGGGAGAGAGCAGGAAGAAAATGCTATTGGGCCATTTCATTTTGTGAGGTGGAAAGAAAATGAATGTTTACTTTCTGCTGTGAACTGGGCGTTTCAAATGTTTAAATATATAAACTATTTTTCTTTTTTCACGTGGAAGTATAGGAATATTTCTACTTAAGTATGACACAAGTACTTTCATACTGTCTTTGAGATTCAGTCCATTGGGACTGCTTCCATTTATTTGCTTAATAATGACTTACTTATTTGTCCAAATTTCCTTTGAGTTTTTTTTTTTTTTTTAATATACGATCACATTAATCTATGAGGCATCTACCAGGAGAAAAATGAGCATTTCTGGGTAGAAGAATATAAAATATTCTGTATTTATTCCTGCACCCGAATTAAGCTAGGTTGATTTTTTTAAATTAGACATATTTAAAAATATTTATTACAATTGCCAACTAGTAACTTAATGGAAAAGTATATGGAAATGAGAAGGAATTTCATTGCTGACTTTACCAAATGTATTTTGAGGAGCTTAAACTTTTATGTGTCTGACCCGTGTTACCAAGTTCAAATACATTTATTAGACTCTGATTCGGATCCATAACCATAACGGGCCTGTATTAGTATTGGAGAAGCATCTGCCATGCATTTAACACACAGTCCAGGCAGAATACTTTCATCAGAACTGTCTCAAAATAGGTGTGAGAAAATAGGAGGTACCTCACCAGAGAACTAGAATCTTCTTTGATGGGTTGCAAAGTTGACTGAAAATGATCCCCTCTTAGGCCCTAAGCATTGAGTCCTGCCCAGCATTTAACAGAAAAAGCACTCACATTTCCCAGCACAAACATCACTAAAAAATAAATAAATAAATAAATAAATAAATAAATAAATAAATAAATAAAAAGTTCTAAGGCTAAAATAAGTAAGCATCTATTCTCAGTAGGATAAGAATAGTTTTATTCCTTAAACTCTATTATCTGAGTTTAAATTGGCCATGAGTTAGGTAAATTAGAAAAATACCTAAATATATTTTATCTCTAGGAGTTTATTGGACTAGGCCCATGGTCGGCAAACTGCGGCTTGCGAGCCACATGCGGCTCTTTGGCCCCTTGAGTGTGGCTCTTCCTAAGCCTTAGGAGTACCCTAATTAAGTTAATAACAATGTACCTACCTATATAGTTTAAGTTTAAAAAATTTGGCTCTCAGAAGAAATTTCAATCGTTGTACTGTTGATCTTTGGCTCTGTTGACTAATGAGTTTGCCGACCACTGGACTAGGCTATATGTATGCTTATTGCTAAAATATATGACATCATTTTATTTTTAATATTAAAAGTGTGGCAGGTACTCACACAAAACAGGGGCTTTTGAAACTCACCATGGTGATGCGTGGACCCAGTTCTCCTGGATAAATGTTATTTGAAAGGCCCTTCCGGAGCCAGAGAAGAGATTTGTCTCTTCCTCCCCAATGTGAAGGACTAATTTGATTTCAGGTTACTCTGCTTTTATTAAAAGGGAACAATGATAATTTTCTAACTTTTGTGCTACTGGCTACAGGAATGCATATCTATTTTCTGGAATTATTGCACTTAATTCCAATATCATGAAGTCTGACCTCAGGAAAGTATCTTATGAACATAGCAAATGATGCAGTAGAGCCGATGAGACATAATCCCGTGGTAAGACATCTTCACTGAGTGCATTTAATAATGTCCAAGCGAGCGAAGCAAGTGCAATGTTTTCTTCTTTTTAAAAAAATATATTTTATTGATTTTTTACAGAGAGGAAAGGGAGAGGGATAGAGAATTAGAAACATTGATGAGAGAGAAACATCGATCAGCTGCCTCCTGCACACCCCCTCCTGGGGATGTGCCCCCAACCAAGGTACATGCCCTTGACCGGAATCGAACCTGGGACCCTTGAGCCCGCAGGCTGATGCTCTATCCACTGAGCCACACCGGTTAGGGCAAGTGCAATGGTTTTGTGACGGGTTCGGTGCTTTACTTACCAGCTCAGGCCCTGTGGTGCGTGCTGTGGGTGTTTCTGCTTGGGCTTCCCGAGGCCTTTATTTGTCCTGCATTTTAATTCTCCCCAGGAAATGCCAAGGGCTTCTTTCTCCCTTGGAATCGGCCCTGCTTGGTGGCAGTAGCAGCTGATAAACAGTGGATTTAAACAACTCTGTTTTCATCTCTGAGATGAAAAAAAAAATACTGTCACTCAGTTTAGTGACCCTCTGTACTTAGGTGAATTCCAGAAAATTCTGTCTCCCTTTTACTCAGAACTGGAAATGATTTTCTAAAAAGTCTAGGGCAATGTCATCCTTGCATGCTAGCCTGGAGCAGTTGTTCTCAACCTTCTGGCCCTTTAAATATAGTTCCTCATGTTGTGACCCAACCATAAAAATTATTTTTCGTGGCTACTTCATAACTGTAATGTTGCTACTGTTATGAATCGTAATGTAAATATCTGATATGCAGGATGGTCTTAGGCGACCCCTGTGAAAGGGTCGTTCGACTGCCAAAGGGGTCGCGACCCACAGGTTGAGAACCGCTGGCCTGGAGGATGCAGGGACGACACTTTGCGTTGCTCCTCTGTCCTATTTCTCCAAAAATAGTCCTTTCCACAGAATTCCAGCACTGCTGCAGGAAGTACTACATCTACTTTTATTTTCCAACTTTCCATTTGTTTTTGAAAATAGAGCTTAATTTTTTTTTTCATGATAATTGGCCATCATGAATATCCATAGGGCGACCAGGCTCCATTGCTGACGGAAAAAAAATGTATCCTCCCTCTAATTTATTTTGATAAAATATCAATAAAATAGAGAAACATTGTTTGAAGAGCTATTAAAGATATTCTCCATATTTAGTTACTTTTTTTTTTTTTTTTGCCACCAGCTAACTGAATTCTAGTTGCAGTAAATCAGAACTTCAGGAGGAATGGGTGCTTTGAACCTCAAAGAATTTACTGAGGTCGATTGTGGATTATAATACAGCAGCTGCCCTGGGAGGTAGTAAGGGCTTTGGCTCTGCTTCATCAGTCTGGGCTTTGCTGACAGGTTGACCTGGCTGATTCCCTGTTGTGTGCGGCTATCTTGTGCATTGCAGAATTTTAGCAACTTCCCTGGCCTCACCCACGACATGATAGTATCACTCCCCCCCCACCCATTGGACAACCAACAATGTCTCCAGACATAGCCACACGTCCCCTGAGGGGCAAAATGGCCCTCGTTCTGAACAGCTGACTCAATCTAAGGGTGCTAGAGGGATATTATTGACAAAATCCCTGCCAATGTCCAATAATTCTTGTAATATAATCAATTCTGCAGAATTCTCTCTTTTATAATATATTGTAAAAGAGATCAAACTATTTATAAAAATTATAATTTATAAGAATTATAATTTGTAAGAATTATAATTTATAAGAATTATAATCATGCCATCTCTATGTAAGAACTTTAGATATTTAAAGAAAAAATGTAATTTGTGCAAAAGGCCTTACAAATTTGATTGTATAGATCCGTCACTACGACATGGAATGAAATGAAGAAAAAAGCATTGCTCTTGCTGGTCTGTGATGATCTCTTCAATTCATGAATATTCTCAGCCTGATGCGGTGCCTAATTCTCCGCCAGTTTTTTTTTTTTTAAATATATTTTTATTGATTTCAGAGAGGAAGGGAGAGGGAGAGAGAGATAGAAACATCAACAAGGAGAGAGAATCATGGATCGGCTGGCTGCCTCCTGTACGCCCCTTACTGGGGAATCGAGCCTGCAACCTGGGCATGTGCCCTGGACTGGAATTGAACCCAGGACCCATCAGTCCGCAGGCCTATGCTCTATCCACTGAGCCAAACCAGCGAGGGCTCTCCACCAGTTTTAAACTTCATGGTGTTTCTTGTTATTGGTCCCTGACAAACAACTTTGCATTCCAATGGAAATAATCCAAAAAAGACGATTTTTTATTTTATTTTATTTTATATTTTTTTAGTACCCAGGACAAATTCAGTACTAAAAATGTTAACACAAGTCTTTATTATTTATGGCTAACGGCTAACCTTTGTCAAATCCTATCCATTTTTTCCCCAAGAGGACAAAATGCATTTCCTGCTTTGCAAGTATCGTGCCTTTAAATGTATCTCCACACTTTTGCAATTGAAGGCTGCAAAAAAAGGGGGGGGATGGTTTGGAAAAAAATGGGGAGGCATGACCTGCTTTGTGTTTGGAATTTAGACCGAGGAATGGTCACTGACCGATTGTCAGGTCTGTTGCCATCATAGCCCTGACACATGGTCACCTATTTGTGCCTCAGTATATTTGCATGTGAGTAGCCCCAGGAATGAAGTAGGAATTGAATCAGGAAATCGGTTGCTCAAATGGAACTTGCCTCA